GAAAATGCTAACTTTTTGTCTTCTTCTGCTTGGCCTACTGCTACTCAAGTGCCTATGGGCCTACACTACCGCTACTTGAGTGTGGCCTAAGCTAACCCCTTCGGCCACTAGAGTGTTTTTCCCCCCGCTGCAACCCCGAAGTCACAACCACAGGTGAGCACCGGCCCTACAAGCCTCCCAAACAAACAAGTGCCCTGGCAGGCCACACGCATGCACTCAGGCCGACAAGCACTCAGACAGCTCCGCATACCAGCAAACACGGACACACACAGACTTAGAAAACTCAGCAAAAGGCGGGATCTCAGCAAGACATTCATTCCAGCAGCAAAACAAAAAAATCAGCTTTGTTCTCAGTTCGTGTTTTGGCAGGTCCTTGCAGAGTGAAAGTGTTCTCTCCTGTATTTGACACTTGTTTGTTTGTGTTTTTGTTTTTGTTTTCAATTCTGTCTTTTGACTCTTTTCGAAATCTGGATTTCCTGTTCTCCTCAGTGAGCTGCTCATAAAGCAGGTTATGTAAATGTGATCTCGACCGGGAAGATTCCATGCGAGTTTTCAACTGCTCATGTAAATGTCAGTTATACGTCTGAAGTCACCCACAGCCCCCTTTTCTCGTCCTTGCCTCTCTTTCTGCCTGCATTTCACCTGCAGTTTTCCACAACAACGTATGTGTAGCAAAAAGGGCTTCTCAACTTACGCGGTAAATTGATTATGAATGCAGGGCGAATCACTGCATATCTTCCTCCTGGAGGTCCTTTTGTGCGTATGGACAGCCATGTCTATGCAGACTATCTGGTCCCACCTAGCTACGACTCACTTCTTGGCAAGGTGAGTTAGTGTTTTGATTGTGAAGACTGTGTATGTAATGTGTGTCTGTGTGCATGTGCACGTGTGGATTACATAGGCTTCGCATTAGTGTACGCATGTCTGATTGTAGAGGGAAAGAGACACACAAACACACAAACACTCAGAACCACTCACAAACACTCACAAACACACACACACACAGACACACACAGACACACACAGACACACACACACCGTAATGAAGTCGACTTAGCGGACTGAAACATCTAAGTAGCTAAAAGCACATCTCTGAGACTCCATTAGTAGTGGTCAGCGAACGCGGATTAGACACAGGCAGGCAGATTAGACACACACACAGCACGGGATGTCTCTTGATGAAGGCATGTTTGTGGGTGGCTGCGTATTTTTTGAGCGGGAATCTTTGCTTGGAGTCATGGTCACTGTTACTGACTCTGCCAGGGCTCGACCCCTGGTCTATCTTTTTGGTGTTTCTGCTGCATCCCGTTTTCGGCTTGGCACCCTTTTTTCCAAACCCTCCTTTGGTACCGTCAGATTTTGGACAACTGGCGCCATGCTGCAATTCGGGCGCCACTTTCAAATACCGCATTTTTCAGTTCTGCCCTCGGGGATTTTGCGGGAATTCCCCTGGTCCGTACGTGTCACCGGTACTTTTACCGGCTCCCCGTACAGTACGGGGACCAGTCTCGGACCAGTTTTCAGCTGCTGTACTCGTACTCAGTGTGACTTGCCCCTGTTTCGGCATTTGGAACCCAAGACTTTGACTTTGTGTCTTTGCCACTGTGTCTGCGTCCGTCGAGTCCCTCAGTCGCGTCGAGTGAGTGAGTGTGTGTGTGCTCTCTCTCTCTCTCTCTCTCTCTCTCTCTCTCTCTCTCTCTCTCTCTCTCTCTCTCTCTCTCTCTCTCTCCTCTCCCTCAGCTCTCCCTGGCTCCGTAAGCCTCGCACTCATTACACTGGTATCGGAGCGGTTCGAACCCGCCCGACCCAACCTGTTTCGTCATCATCGCCTGGCCGTCATCATCGTCATCGTCGAGATCGTCGTCGTCGTGCCACGTCATCATCGTCATCGGCGAGATCGTCGTCACCACGTCATCATCGTCATCGTCGAGATCGTCGCCATAGTGCCACGTCATCAGCATTATCGTCGTGATGGTCGTAGCCGTGCCACGACATCACCATCATTGTCACGATCGCCGTCGTCGCGCCACGTCATCATCACCGTGCTCCTCGTCCTCGTCGCCGTGCCGTGCCATCCTCGTCGTCGACGCCGTTACACCGCGCAGATAAGTAATCAACGACAATTTTCTTTTTTTTCCTTTCTTCTTCTTCTCCTTATCTTCCTCTTCTTCTTTCCTTCCCCTCCCCG